GAATCAAATTATGATGACCAATTAAATTAATTAATATTTGAATTTGTCCTAAACTAATTAAATTAATTTGCCACTAGTAAAGAAAAAAAATTCTGTTTCACATCCAAATTAATCTTAATGTGAAAAAAAATGTCATGTATAGGCAAAAAAATTATTAAAATTTTTTTTCAAAAAAATTCACGTTGCAAGTAAAAAAAAAGGAAGTAAATTAAAAATAAATTTATTAATAAAACTATTCAATTTTAACTAAGGTTAAAACTATGTTAAGGTAATTAATACAAATTTAATTAGGTGTGGTAGGGTGTAAATTAGGATTTGATGATGATTCAAATTTGATCAAGTGTCATCATCTTAATGGAATCCTAAAAACACTCATTTTTAGGATGATCCTAATAGAATTTAAACCCAAAGATGAAACTGTTCCCATCTTGTTAGGTGGGAAATTAATATTGGATTGATCCATTAATAACAAATGATCACTTAATTAGCTCTTTAATCAAGCACTCTCTCTCTCTAGAATGAGAGTCTCTCTCTCTTCTTGAGGGTTTTCTTTCTCCTTGTGAGAATCCAACCGTTTCTGGTTTTTTTCCCCTCTTTTCACTTCCTTTCTTTGGTGTTTTCTCTCATTTTCCCCTGTCTTCCTTGTTTTTCCCTTGTGCCGTCTCTCCTTCATCGTGTCGGCGTTTTGTATTTCTCTGGTGTTGTTTCAATGTTCTTTGTTTGTGAGGTTGTTTGGCTGTTTTTTTCCCGTCTTGTTTGATTTGTTTTGACGATGGATGAGATGGTCATAGATCTGGGTTATGTTGATGATGGATCTGGAGGGACGGATGACTGGATTGTGGTCGGTAAACTGATAGTGGATCGGAATTTGAATAAAGCAGGGGTTATGGCGATCCTGAGGAACATTTGGCCTGAGAAAGAAGCTCCAGCGATTGGTGAAGTGGGGATGAATACTTATAGCATATCTTTTGCCTCAAAGGAAATTATGGTGAGAGCCTTGGAAGGTAATCCCTGGTCCATTATGGGTCACTGTCTCAACCTGAAGAAATGGCCAGAAAATACTCCGGTGGTTCAACTTGATTTTAAAGGAATACAGTTCTGGATCTAGATCCATAACTTGCCAAGAGAGCTATTGACCAAACATAATGGGGAGAAAATTGGCAAAACTTTGGGTGAGATTATTGAAGTAGAGGAACCCAGAGGTCGGTTTGGATTAAACAGGGGATTTTTGCGTCTATGCATTGTTATTGATTCAGAGAAACCCCTCAATCCCGGATTTTGGTTTCCAAGTAAAGATGGTGAACAGAGGTGGGCAGATATCAAATATGAGAAGCTCCCTGATTTTTGTTTTGATTGTGGGAGACTTGGCCATGGTTGCAAGCACTGCAAATTTGAAAGTAAAGGTGCTGAAAAAGAAGGGAAGTTCGGGCCACACATGAGAACCAATTCTCTGAGACGGTTGGAATATGGCGAGGAGGTGAATGTCCAGAAGGAGAAGCAACCTGAAAACTGGAGAAGGGGAATGGTGGTCTCCCGAGCGACGACGCGTGCTGAACCAATGAGGAAGACGCGTGATGAACAATTGGTGAGGGCGCGTGGCCCCCAAACTCTGTAGGAGCGTGGGGTTGGTGGATCACGTGTGGGGTGTGATTATGGGAGAACGAGCACCGAAACGGTTGGGAAGGCTGCTGAAGATTCCATCCCTAATTCCTCGGAGGGTGCTAAAGTGGCAGCACAGTGTCAGAGGGCAGAAAAAGGAAAGTCGCCCATCAAATCGGTGCTAAGCAGTTGGGTCAGCAAGCCAGCTTCGTTACTGGGCCTGATGAGTCCAAGTAAGAGTCCTATAGGAAGCCCAGATTGCAATATTGAAAAAGGCCAGAGAGAAGAGAGTCCACTAAAAGGTAATGAGCTAGTGACTTCTTCTTTCTCTCCTACTAAGACTTTGAAGACGGTTTTGAATTTATCTTCTGTCTTTCGGAGACTCAATCTTAAAAGATTTGAGACTGAGGAACTAGAAAATCAGAGGGCTATTAAAAATGCAAGAAGCTCAGTGATTATAGAAGAAGTGGTTGAAGAGCAGGGACAAATCTTGACTGTTCCAAACGCTTTTGATGGTGGGTGGAGCTCTGAAGTACCTAGGTCGAGATTGGGCCGGAGGTCTATGGTTAAAAGAAGAAGCTGTAGAGCAAAGAGGGAGTTGATTGAACTTAATGAAATGAATCTTACTGAAGTACGTGTGACAGAAGGGGAACTTATTGCATTGATAGAGGCTGATGGTTCAGGTGGCTGTCCTGTAACAGCCACCCTGGAATCGTGATCGCTTTATGTTGGAACTGTCAGGGTGCAGGGTCGGCCTTGACAGGAAGGGAGCTCCATGATCATATCAGAAATTACGACCCTGACATAGTCTTCCTGATGGAGACGAAAAATCAAGTTGAAACTATCGAGAAACTGAGCAAGACTTGCAAATTTGAGAAGAAGTTTTATGTTAATCCTGATGGGCTTAGTGGTGGGTTACTCTTTGGTGAAAGGAGTCTTTGGAGGTAAGGGTTATTCAATCCTCAAAAAATTTGATAGAGACTCGTGTTAGAGATACTGTTAGTCATGCTTTATTCTATGCTTTCTGGGTTTATGCCCCCCCTATATTTGAAGATAGAAGGAATTTTTGGCAGAAACTGACTGAGATTATTGCTGCTAGAAATGGGCCTTGTATCATTTCTGGGGATTTAAATGATATTTATAATCAAGAAGAGAAGGATGGGGGGAGACCAAAAGAAAGAAGATATATTAACTGCTTTCAAGATTTCTTATTTGACTGTAATCTTGTTGAGATTCCTAGTGAAGGGGTAAGGTTTACTTGGGTGGCCCGTAGGGATCATGTGCTAATCAGGGAGAGATTAGATAGGGCTTTAGCTAATATGGAATGGCTTGAACTTAATCCTAATGCTAAAGTCCAGAATCTGCCTGCGGTGGGATCGGATCATAGCCCTATCCTTGTGTTATCTGACCTAAAAGATAAGAAAGCCCCTAAGGAATTTCGGTTTGAGTCTATGTGGGCTGAACACAAAGATTGTGCTGATGTTATTAGAAAAGGGTGGCAGCCGGATTATGATGGGTCTCAAGGTTATCAGCTTGTTAAAAAACTCAAGAATAGCAGAAGAGCTCTTATTGAGTGGAGTAAGAATACTTTCCCAAACAACAGAAAGAAGATTGATGATTTGATGCACAAAATGGCCCTTATTCAGGATGCTGAGCAGGTTACTACAGAGATGATGAAGGAAGCTGAAAATTGTGTAAAGGAGTTGAATGAAACTTGGGCCAATGAAGAGAAGTACTGGTTTCAACGATCAAGGATTAAGTGGATGCAGTATGGTGATCAAAACTCCCGTTTCTTCCACCAGACAACTATTCAGCGCAGACAGAGAAACAAAATCATGAGGATAAAAAATCATGATGGGGAGTGGATAGATAAGGAAGGAAGTGGTTAAAGTGTTCAGAATTTTCTTCCAAGAGCTTTTTAGGGCTGACCATCTGGATGAACCTGCACAGATGTTGGAGTGTTTACCACATATTATATCCCATGAGATGAATGAGGATATGACTAAGCCAATTAGTAATGAAGAAGTGAAAATGGCTGCCTTTGATCTGGGACTTCATAAAGCCCCTGGGCCAGATGGGTATAATGGTTTATTTTTTCAAAAGTTTTGGTCCATTGTTGGGGATTCTGTGACTAGGGCTGTTCAAAGCTTTTTCCACAGGGGTCATATGCTTCGGGAGCTTAACCAAACAAATATTGTGTTAATCCCTAAGGTAAAATCCCCTGAACTTGTCTCTCAGTTTCGCCCAATAAGCCTGTGTAACTATGCTTACAAGGTTATTTCAAAGATCTTAGCTCTTAGACTTAAGCAGTACATGAATTTAATTATCTCTCAGCACCAAAGTGCCTTTGTGGAGGGCAGGCTCATTCAGGATAATATTTTGGTTGCAAATGAGATTTTCCATGAGTTTAAGATTAGAAAGAGAGGCAAGAATTTTGATGCAGCTGTTAAACTGGATCTTAACAAGGCTTATGATCGAGTTGATTGGAATCTTCTGGCAGCTATTATGAAGAAATTTGGCTTTTGTGATAAATGGGTTGATTGGATTCTACAGTGTATTTCCACAGTTTCCTTCAAATTGGTGATTAATGGGAAAAGTTCTGAGATGTTTATTCCGTCACGTGGTATTCGCCAAGGGGATCCACTTTCCCCTTTCTTATTCCTTTTCATTGCAGAAGTATTCTCTAGAAATGTCTCACAAGCTATTCAGAATGGTAGTCTTAAGGGATCTGTAAAATGAACAAGCAAAATGGAGCCGATTTTGAAACATTTAATACCTATTTGAGTCAGTTTGAAGTTTTAATATGCGAGAATCTGTCGATCAGAGACGTACCATATTTGATTATAATTATAATTTTTCGTGAATGAAAAGGGATCCGTAAAATGAACAAGCAAAATGGAGCTGGTTTTGAAACATTTAATACCTATTTGAGTTAGTTTGAAGTTTTAAAACTAAATTGAGATTTTTGTTAAAAGTTTGATACCAAATTAGGATTTTAGCCTTGATAAAATTAGTCAGCTAAAAGTCGACCAAAAATGTGTTGGAGATGTGTGGGAACCAAAAAGATTAAAAAATTTCGGAAACAAAGGAAAGGGCTTTAAAACCAATTGAATTCATCCATATCCATAGGAGAAATTATTAGATAAGTCCGTCTCACTATGTAAGCTATGGGATCAATCAACTATTAAAATTGTGTCATGTCAAATGAACTCTTAAAATTTAGTCACAATTTTAGCCCAAAATTTAACCTCATTTTAAAATAAACAATACCTAAAGGATAAGTCAAATTTAAGATATTACTGGGATGAAGTTTTAGAAAAATTTTTAGTTGTCATACTTATTAGTGGTTGGTTACATAGCTGATATATATGGTAGGTCAATTCCACCTAATAACTTCTCCAGGATAGATTTTTTTTAAAGGAAATTAAGATTGTTTTCTAGACAGCTAACAAATATACTACGATGTGGAGACATCTTTTTTTTGAAATCATGTGGAGACATCTTGTTATAGGTGGAAAGATTGTTTTCTATAGTTTATGCTTGTTCAGTTCTCATGTAGCAAAAAAATGAAAACATGAATCTATTTAGGCCATTGTTATTTATTGTTAAAGTCAAAGACTAAAATAATGTGGTTATTGCATTGCACCGTGCTTGGACCGAATCGTTTCTATGATTGAATATCAGGAGTGGTACTTAAAATAGTAGAAACTCGGAGACACGGACAGAGAGGTGACTCTATCATACCCGCTAATTCCTAGGATGAGAATGGGGCTATTTTATTTTATTTTTTTTTGGTGAAAAGGGGCTCTTTTTTTAGGCTTCGGCTTTAACATCATTTATTTACAAGAAATATATAAGGCTTTATTGGTTCTCATTTTTTGGGTTAATTTTTCATTTAAAAAAATTGTTCATCATAATTTGCATCATTAAGCTTTAAAAAACTATTGATTGATAGAAATACTGTTTACTTCCTTGCTAAGAATGCTGCCTAATTTTCTCATAACAGATTTGCTAAGCCATTTGATCCGTTCCAATGCTCAATTGGCTATCATTTTGGAGAAATTATTAGATGAACCGAGCCCACCACCCCATCTATGGTTCCGACTAATAAAATTGTGACAAATCATATTTCTTCCTAAATTTTACGTACAAATTTAGAACCAGATTTAGCCCCAAGTTTCATTAGATGAGATTTACAGGTTAAGTCTCTAAATTTAAGATATTAATTTGCTAGGTTTTTAGAAATTGTATGAAAAAATCTGACTTGTCACAATCTTATTGGTCGATATCATAGATGACAAGATGAACCCGATCCATGTAATAATTTCTCATCATTTTGTGTTTGAAAGTCAATGTATCTAGCACCACGTCAACGCCAATTTCGTCAACATCATTGACAATGAGCTCTATAGTAATTTAAACTTTTTTCTAATTATTTCCAATTAATAATTGTCTGATGTTTGAACTTTTTAATTTGAACGCAGTTTTGGACCTTTTGGCGTATAATTAATCATCTTTTCAGCAACACACAACTCCACAAGGCTATAGGCAACTCAATTTCGGATTATAGGCATAGTGACTAGCAGATACCGAAGAGAATGTTGATTAAAACGAAAAAAGAAAAAGCAGGGTTTACAGAGCAACTAAACAAAAAAGTTAAAAGGAAAACAAAAATTAAGCAATAGAGGAAGAAACAAAAGACATAAACTCTTCATCAGATTCAAGATCATGCATGGAATGAGCTGGAAGACACACTTCCAAATCCATGCTTCCTTCACTTTCTCGTCCTTGATATAAAGTAACTTTCCCATCCAATTTATTACCACTCCCACTTCGAAGTGTTAATGCTTTTCCCAACCCAAACTCATTTCCATAATTGTTAAATCTTGGTGAATTTCCAATCATTACACTTGACGAATTAAACAACTGACCCAACTGGTAAACGAAATGTGAACGAACCCAATCGTTGACAAACTCATGCACCGATTTGTCCGTATGGTTAACTTCGGCTTGGTGTAATTTCCAAGCAGCCCAACCAAGATTATGTTCCAACAATTCACCCGCTGTTGCCACTGCCTTAACTGTTTGATATAAGTTCCCAAAGAAATCTTTGGACAATGTTGGTTCTAGCCTTGACCTGTTATCTATAGCCAACTTGCAATTTGTAATTCGGTCACTATGAAAACCCCGTGCCTTGGTTATGGACCTCCATAAAAATGCAGATAAGGATTGAAAAGAAGAGATTTTAGTTGTGTTTGATTCCCAATTGGCCTTTGCTTCAATTTTTGCAATGGATTCTTCCGAGAAATGGAAGATTCGTTCTAAAAGTTGGGGTGCTTCAGATTTGGTGATAGATTGATCATCTTGGTGAGTGAAAGGAAGGCTAATTAAAGGGACATGACCATTTGGAAACCATTTTTTCAACATAGGGAGGCGTGAGATTTTTCTTACATTATTTTCGTCTCCTTGAAATATTTCGGACAATGCATTGAAGAAATGTCCGAAGGATGTTCCATCAACAATAGCATGGTTCATTGAACATCCGATGAATACTCCATCGACCAGTTCCGTGACTTGAATAGATAGCAAAGGGTTGCTTCCATGATTAATCGCTCCATCAAGGTCGAAGAAATATCGAACAACCAATGGGACATAAGTAGGGAAAACGACGTCGGATACTGTCATGTCAACAGCTGTAGCATGAACCAGTTTGGCCCCAGGGCTGTTGTTGCAATCAACGAAGACATAATAACAAGGTGGGTTTTGGTTTTCCTCTTTTTTTGTTACAAGGCGGCCGGTGAGAGGGTAGAAATGGACGAGGGCGAGTGAGAGGGATTGCTTGAGTCTTTCTAGAATATTCTTCATCAAGTCTTCTTGATCCTTGTCTCGAGGTTTGGCGAAGAGAAGACCCTTTTGGACGTACTCCACGGAAATCATGGCTAAATCCCATGGTGTCAAATAGTATGGATGCTTTGATTCTTCTGAAACAGAATGTGGTTTCACAAAGCATTCCGAGATGCATCGAACTACCGGTGGATTCATGTTTCTTGCCTTACAAGGGAAGTTTAATTAGTTTTGATTATGGACTTGGGGTTTATATAGTTGTTGTAGGGGAAAGAAAAGACTCTGTCTGCTACGACTTTTTCTTGTTCATACTTCATACCAACTTCCCAAGCACACAATTCCAGAATCCACAAGCCAAAGATCAAACTTTTCAAAGTGAATGTTTGAAGATTTCAGATAATTAATAAAAATGGTGGAATTTGCAATATAAATATTGATCAATTACAGAGGTCAAATCATACCAGTTCTCGAAGAAAATATTGGAAAGCTTTTTATTTTGGTGAATAAAATATTGGAAAGCTTGAAAATATCATATGTCTTCCTTGTCTTATACTTTCATCAACTTGAAAATAAATATAGTTAACATGTTTTAGGCTTACAATAATTTAAACCCTTTTTTCAACAGTATGATGTAACTTTGAACTTAATTTGAATGGCTTAAAAATGACAAAATGCACCCTAAAGTTTATACGGACTATCACTTTGCAACCATTTTTTTTATTTTGATCATAATTAATATCGCATCCTAATGTTTTATTTTGCATATATTTTGCACCCTCTATAACGGAAAATGGTTACGACGCCATTACGGTGTTGACGTGGCATGCCACATAGGACGAAATGCCACGTGGCATGCTGACGTGGCAAAATTTTCTTATTTTATTTTCTTTTTATGCTGATGTGGCATGCCACGTGGCAATTTTCGTATGACATGGAATGGCAAGTGGCAATTTTTATCATAACGGTGTTGTCGGGTACTTAATGAATTTTCAGTAATGGAGAGTGCAAAATATATGCAAAATAAAACATAAGGGTGCGATATAATCAAAATAAAAAAGTTGAGTGCAAAGGGACAATCTGTATAAACTTTAGGGTGCATTTTGACATTTAAGCCTAATTTGAATTGAATACAGTTTTTGGAGTATAATCAATCTTTTCAAAAAAAAAAAAAAAAAACAACTCCATAAGCCTTATAGTTGGGACAACTTCCCAACTGCTTTATTTCTTCGTTTTATATTCTATCTTTGTTCATAAAACCTAATGGCCTTGCAAGTTGCAACATCTTGGATATAGCAGATTGTTATGGAGGAGACGATGGTGACGATAATACCATCCAGCTGGAATTAGTCCTTCCATTTCACTTTGATGTATGTTGTCATTTGTCAAAGTTATCTTGATGGACATGCGGATTTGTGGCACGTCTTAAAGCTTTGATGGCATAAGGGCAATGCTTAAGCATATGGAATAGATAATCTTGATACTTAAGTTGTTAAATTTGCATCAATTTCATTATTGGCTTAATAGACATTGTGATCCATGAACAAGAGACAAATTAGCCATTGAACATAAAAAAATTGTCAATTACGCACTTGAATTTGTAAAATAAAGATTAATTGGAAATTGGTATGGCTCCAATAAATTGCATCAAATTTTTGTCCAATTGTTAGCGGAACCAAACCAATTTTTTGTCTAAAAAGGAAATTTTGTCTTTTTATTTCCAAATTCATGCATGCAATTCTCAATTTTGAAAGTTTAAGGGTAAATTTGTCACTTTTTTACAAGTTCAGAATCAAAATGTGAATTGCCCCTTTGATTATTTATCTCTCACTGCTAGCAATGGCTAAGTTAGAAGTAAAAAAGGCATAATGCACATTTCGCCCTGAACTTTCACAATA